GGTTCAGAATGCTCTTTGATTGTCGGTGAACTATAAATCCCAGCAACTACAACTCCCAAATGTCAAGGACTATTTCCCGCAACTCCACCAGTGTACGCATTTAGAATACTGAGTATTTGTGCCAAGTTTGGTCCAGATCCATCATTGTCCACAGTGTTCTCTGGATGTAGGTGAACTACAACTCCCAAACTCAATGCTGACCAAACCCTTCCAGCATTTTCTGTTAGCTGTGGGAGTTCTGTGTGCTAAGTTTGGTTCAATTCGATCGTTGGTGGAGCTTAGAATGCTCTTTGATTGTAGGTGAACTATAAATCCCAACAACTACAACTCCCAAATGAAAAAATCAATCCCCGTCCCCAACCCTACCAGTATTCAAATTTGGGAGTATTGGGTATTTGTGCCAAATTTGGTCCAGTGAATGAGAATACATCCTGCATATCAGATATTTGCATTATGATTCACAACAGGAGCAAAATTAGTTATGAAGTAGCAAAATAATGTTATGGTTGGGGGGGTCACCACAACATGAGGAACTGCATTAAGGGGTCGCGACATTAGTTAGGTTGAGAAACACTGATCTAATCAGTTTCAACTGTATTATGTGAGTCCACACTGCCATCTAATGCGGTTCATGCGTTTCAACTGTTTTATATGAGTCTACACAGAATAGGAAGGACAAGAGACCTCTTCCAGAAAATTAGAAACATTGGAGGTAAATTTCAGGCAAAAATTGGTATGATAAGAAACAAAGATGGCAGGGACCTAACAGAAGCTGAAGAGATCAAGAGAAGGTGGCGAGACTATACAGAAGATCTGTATAGGAAGGATAATAATATCGAGGATAGTTTTGACGGTGTGGTGAATGAATTAGAACCAGACATCCTGAGGAGTGAGGTTGAATGGGCCTTAAGAAGCATTGCTAACAACAAGGCAGCAGGAGACGACGGGATCCCAGCTGGACTGTTTAAAATCTTGAAAGATGATGCTGTCAAGGTGATGCATGCCATATGTCAGCAAATATGGAAAACACAAGAATGGCCATCAGACTGGAAAAAATCAACTTATATCCCCATACCAAAAAAGGGAAATGCGAAAGACTCCTCAAACTTCCGTACTGGCATGAGAAATAAGTGGCCCTTATTTCTCATGCCAGTAAGGTAATGCTTAAGATCCTGCAAGGAAGACTCCAGCAATACATGGAGAACGACTCCGCCATAAATGGAGCGGAGTATCGCCAGATGTTACATCAGCTAGCGGGTATTAGAAAGTGGGAATGGGGGAGGGAGAGGGAGGGCTGGAGTTTATGCAGAAACGGTCGACTGGTCGTTATTATACCATTACTTCAGTCTTGACTGTGTGGATCATAATAAATTGTGGCAAGTTCTTGGTGGGATGGGCATACCAAGCCACCTTGTCTCTCTCCTGAGGAATCTGTACAAGGACCAAGTAGCAACAGTCAGAACTGACCACGGAACAACAGACTGGTTCAAGATTGGGAAAGGCGTACGGCAAGGCTGCATACTCTCACCCAACCTTTTTAACTTGTATGCAAAACACATCATGCGATGTGCGGGGCTTGATGAATGCAAAGCTGGGGTGAAAATTGCTGGAAGAAACATTAACAACCTCAGATATGCAGATGACACCACTCTGATGGCCGAAAGCGAGGAGGAGCTGAGGAGCCTTCTAATCAAGGTGAAAGAAGAAAGCGCAAAAGCCGGGTTGCAGCTAAACATCAAAAAACCAAGATTATGGCAACAAGAATGATTGACAACTGGAAATAGAGGGAGAAAATGTGGAGGCCGTGACAGACTGTATTTCTAGGTGCAAAGATTACTGCAGATACAGACTGTGCCAGGAAATCAGAAGACACTTACTTCTTGGGAGGAGAGCAATGTCCAGTCTCGATAAAATAGTAAGAGTAGAGACATCACACTGGCAACGAAGATCTGCATAGTTAAAGCAATGGTATTCCCCATAGCCACCTACGGATGTGAGAGCTGAACCTTAGGGAAGGCTGAGCGAAGGAAGATTGATGCTTTTGAGCTGTGGTGTTGGAGGAAAGTGCTGAGAGTGCCTTGGACTGCGAGAAGATCCAACCAGTCCATCCTCCAGGAAATAAAGCCCGGCTGCTCACTGGCAGGAAGGATACTAGAGACAAAGTTGAAGTACTTTGGCCACATCATGAGGAGACAGGAAAGCCTAGAGAAGACAATTATGCTGGGGAAAGTGGAAGGCAAAAGGAAGAGGGGCCGACCAAGGGCAAGATGGATGGATGGCATCCTTGAAGTGACTGGACTGACCTTGAAGGAGCTGGGGGTGGTGACGGCCGACAGGCAGCTCTGGCGTGGGCTGGTCCATGAGGTCACGAAGAGTCGGAGACGACTGAATGAATGAACAACAAAGCTATTTTTGCTTGGAAGATCAAACTCCCCTCCTGTTTACCTGGAAGCAAACCTTTCCATGCACAAACCAGTGGCTACTTTTTGACTATGCCCTGAATTGGAGTTACTGCATACAGGGAAGAAGGAGATGCCTCACACTGGGGATGGAGGCTTTCAATCTTCCCCAAGTATGTGAGAGTGTGCTCTGCAGCTGAGCAGTGGCCCAAGAGTGAAGGTAGCTGTGACAGGAATACACATCTTAACTATTGCTGTATACTCAGTTCTTGTGGGGGTTTTTTTGGGCTATATGGCCATGTTCTAGAGGCATTTCTCCTGACGTTTCGCCTGCATCTATGGCAAGCATCCTCAGAGGTGAGGTCTGCTGGAGCTGGGAAAAAAGGGGGTTTATATATCTGTGGAATGACCAGGGTGAGACAAAGGGCTTTTGTAAGTTTGGCTAGGTGTGAATCTTTCAACTGACCACCTGATTAGCATACAATGGGCTGACTGTGCCTGGAGCAAACTCTTCTTGAAAGGTGATTAGATATCCCTGCCTGTTTTTCTCTCTGCTGTTTTGGAAATGAACAAAATCTGGCTACCAGTATTAAAAAACTCTAAAATTGCAACAGCACAACAACAAAGAGGAAGCAGGCAGGGACATCTAATTACCTCTCAACAAAAGTTTGCTCCAGGCACAGTCAGCCCATTGTATGCTAATCAAGGTGGTCAGTTGAAACATTCACACCTAGCTCCAGAGGACAAGAGTCCTTTGTCTCACCCTGGCCATTCCACAGATATATAAACCCATTTTCCAACCCCTATAGTCCCAAGAATTGCACAATTACACTAGGCAGAGACTTCTATTGGGCTTTGGTCAGTGAATGTAAAAGAAAATACTGACAATGAGAAGTATGTTAAAAATATTAAAAAAATAACTAGATATTTTAAATTATAAAAATGCGAGTCAAGCATTGAAAAGGTTAAATGAATGCAATGACTCCACAAAAGCTGCAGTTCAATATAAGTAGGTGTGCCTGTAGCTTAGTATGCTTCAGTGTTAGTAGGCCTCAGTGTGAGGTAGGCCTCAGTGTGTGAGAGGCCTGGTGCGAGAAGGCTTTGAGAGAAAGCTCCAGTGTGAAGGCTTCTGTGTGTAAAAAGCTACTGTGTGAAGCTACTGTGTAACTTCGATGTGAGAAGAGGCTCTGTGAGAGAGAAGCTGTTTATCTGCATGAGAAAGAAGCCCAGTGTGGAAGCAAAGAAGGAAGTATGAAGGACTTTATTTATCTTATGGAAACCTTGTTCTGGTAAATAGTGCAACCATATTATTTTACTACAAAGAAAAGCCTCCTAAGGAAGATATAACATTGGCCTGTGTGTTTTTGTTCTTTTTTCATCACTTTGGGCTACTGGTGCTGCATTACACTGCCACTAATAAGTTACTCTTCTGTGCATTTATTGTGAGGGTCTTTTGTTAATAAGCCCACTCGCCCAACAAAGTACACTATTCACACTACCGAATAACAATAAGTACTTGGATTGCGATAAGCATCTGAAAAAAAAAACTTTATTTATACCCCGCTCCATCTCCCCCAGGGGGACTCGGTGCAGTTTACATGAGGCCACACCCATCAGTACAGTACACAACAATATAACACAAGAGGAGGGTTGACCACTCTCTGTAATTTGCACCAGTAAATAATCTGGCTGCTGCCCGTTGGACCAATTGGAATTTCCGGGCCGTCTTGCAATAGTCCAATTTAGAGGTAACTAAGGCGTGGACCACCGTGGCCAAATCTGACTTCACGAAGTACAGTCGCAGCTGCGCACGAGCTTCAATTGTGCAAAGGCCCTCCCAGCCACTGCCGACGCCTGAACTTCAAGCATCAGCGCTGAATATAGGAGGACACCCAAGCTGCGGATCTGTGATTTCAGGGGGAGTGCAACCCCGTCAAGCACAGGTTGCCACCCTATACCTCAATCCGGCCTACGATTGACCTGGAGGACCTCTGTCTTGTCGGGATTAATCCTCAGCTTATGTGTCCTCATCCAGACCGTCACAGCGGTCAGGCACTCGTCCAGCACCCGAGGGGCTTCCTTGGAATTAGGTGGAAAGGAGTAGAGTTGGGCGTCATCCCAACGTTATTGTACCAAAGTAGTAAGTAAGTAAACCCATTATCTGTAACAAATCCATGACAAGCTCTACTTTAATTATATCCTTTCCAGACTTCAATTTACTGAATATTCATTTCCATTCTTCCTTGGATAAAGACTGGGTAGGTCAAACAGCACCTTGCCAAACCGCTTACTCCTACTCTATCCTTGGGAAATAATTAGGTATGCCAAGAAGCCGCTTCATTAGCTTGTGTTGCAGAGGAATAAACCACACCATCCATCCTGTTGAGAGTTTAAGAGGCAGGCAGGACCTGAAGCACGAGATCAAGCAGCATAATGGCCAAAAGGGGATAAAGCAAACAGAGGAGGCTCCAAAGTAGAAATGTGAAGGTAGGCCATAAACACCCCACCACAAACACATCCATGAAAACAAGTAGGATTCTGTAAAATCCTATTATAAAAAGAATTCTGACAACATCTCATGGTTAAATAGCCATGAAATATGAACTTTCCAGGGTGAGGATATCCAAAAGGCTTAATGTAGCAAGATAAGATTGACATTCTAAAACATGATCAAGATAGCCATTAACAAAATTCTAAGGATTGGAGTAAGAATCAGACAGCCTTGAAGTTCAGAAAAACAGTCAAAATTTGAAAAACAAAATCACTGAGGACTAGAAAAGGGGTGGGGGAGGTCCCCCTCACACTGGATGGACTTTGACAAGAATGAAGTATGTGCACACCAGTTAAATCCATGTTCCTGTGATGGTATTTCAGCACCTAAAAAACAGAAGATGTTTCAGATGTCTCACCTTGGTGCTGACCTCCCACAGAAATCAGATTGATCATCGGAGGAGTTGGACATCTCTGTACCACAGCTCGCCTGGGAATGGGAGGAAGAAACTGCAATCACCAGCAAAATCCACATCAACAGAATAGTCAGTTCCAATAGGCAGAGGGACCAAAAGTTTGTCTTCCCATTCAGCAGTTTCCTATGTTACCTGGAAAGGCTGTGGTCTCAGGCTCCATTTTGACAAATCACGGGAACAATAGAACCTACCATACATAATCCCCTTTGTCCTACTCTGACTGGCAGTGCTTTCCAAGGGTATTTTGCCAGTAGCCTGCTGTTATTAGAGTCTAGAACTACTTTTTGGACTATAACTCTCAGATACTGCAAACAGGATAATCCTTTTGACTAGGGTTGCTGGTAAGTTGAAAAATGGACCTTCTGCATTTGAAGTGGGGGCTCTATTACAGTCCCACCCAAGATGCCTCCCCTCCCATACTTTCAACCCCCACCTGAAACACTTACAGCAGTGTTTCTCAACCTGGGGGTCGGAACCCTGGGGGGGGTCATGAGGGGGTGTCAGAGGGGTCATCAAAGACAATCACAGTATTTTCTGTTGGTCATGGGGATTCTGTGTGGGAAGATTGGTCCAGTTCTATCGTTGGTAGGGTTCAGAATGCTCATTGATTGTAGGTGAACTATTAATCCCAGCAACTACAACTTCCAAATGTCAAGGTCTATTTCCCCCAAACTCCACCACTGCTCATATTTGGGCATATTGAGTATCTGTGCCAAGTTTGGTCCAGATCATCATTTGAGTCCACAGTGCTCTCTGGATGCAGGTATATAAATGGAGTAAGTAAGTAAGTAAGTAAGTAAGTAAGTAAATAGGTGAACTACAACCCCAAAACTCAAAAGTCAGTGCCCAACAAACCCTCCCAGTACTTTCTGTTGGTCATGGGATTTCTGTGTGCCAAGTTTGGTTCAATTCCATCGTTGGTGGAGTTCAGAATGCTCCTTGATTGTAGGTGAACTATAAATCCCAGCAACTATAACTACCAAATGACAAAATCAACCCCCCACCCAACTCCACCAGTATTCAAATGTGGGCGTATCAGGTATTTGTGCCAAATTTTGTCCAGTGAATGAAAATACATCCTGCATATCAGATATTTACATTATGATTCATAACAGTAGCAAAATGATAGTTATGAAGTAGCAATGAAAATAATGTTATGGTTGGGGGTCACTACAGCATGAGGAACTGTATTAAGGGGTCGCAGCATTTGGAAGGTTGAGAACTACTGACTTACAGGAATTGTCCTCCCTGGGAGAAGCCCATGGCATTGTAGCCACCTTTCAGTTTGGGGTCTTTTGCGAGTATATCACACACAAGTGTCACCTGGTCATTGACATTCTTAAAGAAGCTGTTCTCCATGTCCTGCAGAGGGTAAAGGGAAATGGAAGTGATAAGGAGAGTTTTCAGGATTGTAAACATTTTAGTAAGCACGCAGGCCCTCGCCTCTTCCCTTGTTTTGCTGAAGGTACACATAAAAGAGAAGTCATCTTGTCTCTATGTGCACCTTTTTTCTTTCTGTTCACATGAATATCTTAGTAACTCCCTTTTAACACCAGGGTTAAACAAACACGGAGGCTATCTGAGTAATTTTCCAGCCTCCCAGCAATACACAAGCGATCTCCAACAAAAGCAATGGTTCAGAAATTGTTATGAGAACTGACCCCTTGAAGTAACACATTTTCAGAAGCACGTATGTGCGTAGCTATTCTTGCGGGCTAAAAAGGCCTGTGTGACTCTCACCTCTACTCTACATCAACCTTCCTCAAATTGACACATTCAACGTATGTTCAATTACAATTACCAGCTGTGGGATTGTGGCACAGCTGGCTGAATGTCAGCTGCATTAAGATCACTCTGACCAAAAGGTCATGAGTTCGAAGCCAGCTCGGGTTGGAGTGGGTTTCCAACCAATTGTGTAGCCTGTTGTCGACCTTTGCAACCCGAAAGACAGTTGCATCTGTCAAGTAGGAAAATAAGGTACCGCCTTAAAGTGTGGGGAGGCTAAATTAACTGATTTATGAGGCCATAAAGAAGACTCCAGCAAAGCATTCCAGCGGGGAAGCATGCGGGGAATGCGGAAGTGCTTCATCAGCGTCGCAGATGGACAATGAAAGCGACAGCTCCCCTGGCGGCCAGAAAAAGTTAAATAGCCTCTGTGTATGTCTGTATATGTTTGTATGTCAAAAATTGGCATTGAATGTTTGCCATATATGTTGCAAAATAATGTTTGCCTCCTGTTGCAAAAGGGGGGAGTTTTGCATGGGTTTTAACAGCCAGTTTGTCACTTCGATTTTCACCTCCTCATCATCAGAAAAGTGTTTTCCACCTTGGGGAGGCAATTGAAGGAGCGCTGGCAAAGGTAGAGCTGGAAGAGCTGGAAAGAAGAAGGAGGTAGAGCGGCCAGCCGCCATTACAACTCACGGGCCGAAGAACTCGCTCCCTCCCTGCTCCTCGCTCCCCTGAGCTGCATTTTCGTTTCCTGCTCACCGGCTCCGGCGTTGCAGACGGGTTTGTGGCCGCTCGGGTGGAAAACGGGTGGCGTCCTTCTGTGTCCGCTTGGAGACGCATTTCGCCGAGGACGCGCCGGCTGGGGACGCGCCGTGCCGCCGGGCGACGCCTGACTGACTGCTGACTGTTGTGGGTGGCCTCTGGCCTTGCTTTGCGGCCTGGCGGCCTTGCTTTGCGGCTCGCCTGACTGCTGAGCCGCAGTTGTTGTTCCCTGCGGCTGCGTGGGAAGAATTGCCCGGGACCAAGAGGGAGCGTTGCTGCACCAGCTGCTCGGCCCCTTGGGTTTCCTTGGGTTCCGGACTTCCATCATCCTGACCGCCTGCTGCTCGGCGAAGCTTGGTGCCAACAAGGTTGTAGCCTCCGTTCCAGCGTTCCGGCGCCCGGCTTTCGCCTGGATTGCCGTGGGAAACTGCCATTTTGGAACTTGGCTCTCGGCCAGCTTTCCAACGCTCTGGCCTCATCGCCTTCCAACGCGCCGCCGCCATTTTGAGGCTTGGATTGTTCTTCCAGGGCCTAGCCAATCCTTCCAGCGTTTGAGCATATGCTCTTTAGCAGGTCCTGGAAGCGACTTACTCCCGTTGGACAAGCAGACAATAGAACTAGCTGCGGCCAACGACCACCTTGCTACCATCTTAGAGTAGTGATTAACCTGCCGCCATCACAGGGAATTTCCATCATCCTACTTGCATTAACTCCGGAAAGACTGTGCTGACCATCTTTGGGCCTGATTACTGTGGCATCTCGTTGTGTTCAATTTTAGACAGAATTTTAGATAGTTTGTGCTGTTCATTGTCTAATTCATCTGTATTGACCGCTTCTGATTGTGTGGACCATCTCTTTGCTTGTGCTAATTACCCTCCTTTGTGCTGACCTCCTTTGACGTTGTTAACCATCATTGACAGTGCTGACGACCTTTATAGGGTTAATAACAACAACTACTTCAGTGGCTGAACGGAGATTTTAAGATCTAATAGTTGTACTGCTAATAAGCAATTTGTACAATTACTCTATGTGATTTTAGCACTTTACCCGACCAGCACTTTAATTGACTACCTCTGTGGTTAATTTGGGCCAATAATTTATCGAGCCTCAGCACTTTAATTGATTCAACGAACCATCTAGCGGTTGCAAGTTAAGTCCTCCATGACGCATTTTACTTAGCACTTTAAAGCCGAGTAAGAAAGCCATTGCACTTTAGTTATTTATACCATCTTGAATTATCCATCTGCACTTTAAGAACTTTAGGGAAACCCGCCGACAGCGTTTAACAGCTACCACCCATGACACTGCCCTGGCAGTTGTTAATTTTGTTGTTGATTGTTCATGGGGGAGAGTGGGAACGGAATAGATTTGTAAGACCTGAGTTTAATAAAGCGGGAGTGGGAAGTGGATGGAAGGTAGGACTATGGCAATCTGAAACCACAACATTTCATATAGTCAATAATGAATTGTCTGTTGATACTGTGGCCGTTCAGTGCGTCATGGAGGAGGGAGAGGGTTCCGCTAACCGGGGAGCCCCCATAGAAGTCGTGGTGGGGAGGGGGAGATACGGGAAAGGGAGGCCTTTAATTCGACCTAGGGAACGGGGGCGGGGAACAACGTTAGTAATTCCAAAACGGTCTCCTGATATGAGAAGTTGGTGTAACCAGGATGGCGGTCCCTCCGGATTGAAAGTGGTGCTGTTGAACGCCAGATCTGTCAACGGTAAAACAACTTTCATCCAGGATTTAATCCTGGATGAACGGGCAGATCTGGCGTGCATCACAGAGACCTGGTTGGACGAAGCGGGAGGTGTAAATTTAACCCAGCTTTGCCCACCAGGCTTCTCTGTACAGCACCAACCGCGATCCGGAGGGCGGGGAGGCGGGGTTGCAGTGGTCTATAGAGATTCCATTCTTCTGACCAGGGCCCCCATCCCGCAGTCAACAAATTTTGAATGCGTCCACCTGAGGGTGGGTGACCGGGACAGATTAGGGATTCTGTTAGTGTACCGTCCACCTCGCTGCACTACAGACTCCCTGACTGAGCTAGCGGGGGTGGTCTCGGACCTGGCATTGGAGTCCCAACGGCTGCTTGTGCTGGGGGACTTCAATGTCCACGCCGAGACCGCCTTATCGGGAGCGGCTCAGGACTTCATGTCTACCATGGCAACCATGGGGCTGTCCCAACAGGTATCTGGCCCCACCCACAGTGCTGGACATACATTGGACTTGGTTTTCTGTCAGGGATGGGAGGAAGGTGGCGGTGTTGAGGAGTTATCCATCTCTCCGTTGCCATGGACCGACCACCACCTGGTCAGCTTTAGACTCACTGCACCCCCTAACCTCCGCAGAGGTGGAGGACCCATTAAATTGGTCCGCCCCAGGAGGCTTATGGATCCGGATGGATTCCTGACGGCTCTTGGGGAATTTCCCGCCACCTCGGTTGGTGATCCTGTTGATGCTCTGGTCGCTCTCTGGAATGGGGAGATGACTAGGGCAATAGACACGATCGCTCCAGAACGTCCCCTCTCAAGTAGCCGAGCTAAACCAGCTCCTTGGTTTACCGAGGAGCTGGCAGCGTTGAAGCGAAAGAAGAGGGAACTAGAGAGCGTGTGGCGCTCGGATCCGGGCGAGTCAAATCGAACACGGTTTGTGTCCTTTTTAAGGGCATATGCCGCGGCAATAAAGGCCGCAAAGAAAACTTTCTTTGCGGCCACTATTGCGTCTGCAAAAAACCGTCCGGCTGAACTGTTCCGAGTTGTCAGAGGCTTATTAAAACCCTCCACTCAGGACGGGTGCCCTGAGGACTCGGCAGCTCGCTGTGAAGCTTTTGCTCGGTTCTTCGCAGACAAAGTCGCTTTGATCCGCTCTGGACTGGACACCATATTAACGGCAGTATCTGAGGATGTAACCCGAGCATCTGCTTGTCCGGTTTTGATGGATTCATTTCAATTGGTTCAATCCGAGGATGTGGACAAGGTGCTTGGAGGAATGAGAGCTACCACATGCATCCTAGACCCCTGCCCATCCTGGCTTCTAAAGGAGGCCAGAGGGGGATTGGCCGAGTGGGTGAAGGTGGTGGTTAATGCCTCCCTTCGGGAGGGCAAAATTCCAGCCAGCTTAAAGCAAGCTGTGATAAAACCGCTGTTGAAGAAACCATCACTGGACCCCACTCAATTCGTCAACTATCGGCCTGTTTCCAATCTCCCCTTTCTTGGGCAAAGTCATGGAACGTGTGGTGGCCTCACAACTCCAGGCATTCTTGGTAGACACGGATTATCTGGATCCGGCACAGTCTGGCTTTAGGCCGGGGCATGGTACCGAGACAGCCTTGGTCGCCTTAGTGGATGATCTGCGTCGGGAGCTCGACAGGGGGAGTGTGTCCCTGTTGGTGCTGCTCGACCTCTCAGCGGCCTTCGATACCGTCGACCACGGTATCCTTCTGGGACGCCTCGCGGGGATGGGGTTGGGAGGTACTGTTCTGCAGTGGCTCCACTCATTCCTCGAGGGTCGGTCTCAGAAGGTGTTACTGGGAGACTCCTGTTCAACCCCACAACCTTTGTCTTGTGGGGTTCCTCAGGGTTCAATACTGTCTCCCATGTTGTTTAACATCTACATGAAGCCGCTGGGCGAGATCATCCGAAGTTTCGGAGTGCGATGTCATCTGTACGCAGATGATGTCCAACTCTGTCACTCCTTTCCACCTGCTACTAAGGAGGCTGTCGAGGTCCTGAACCGGTGCTTGGCCGCTGTGACGGTCTGGATGGGGGTGAACAAATTGAAATTGAATCCAGACAAGACAGAGGTACTCCTGGTCAGTCGTAAGGCCGAACAGGGTATAGGGTTACAGCCTGTGTTGGATGGGGTCGCACTCCCCCTGAAGACGCAGGTTCGCAGTTTGGGTGTGATCCTGGACTCATCGCTGAGCCTGGAACCCCAGGTTTCGGCGGTGACCAGGGGAGCATTCGCACAATTAAAACTTGTGCGCCAACTGCGACCGTACCTTGGGAAGTCTGACTTGGGGTAGAGCGCTCTGGAGAGAAAAGAGGAAGGCGAGGGAGGGGGGCGCGGGGCGGGGGGGTAAGGTGGGGGTGGGGGGGAGGAGGGGAGGGGGTGGTGGGTGGGAGGGGGAAGGGACGGTGAGGGCGGGGGGAGGGGGGGGGCGTAGCAACTGCGACCGTACCTTGGGAAGTCTGACTTAGCCACGGTAGTCCAAGCTCTGGTTACATCCCGCCTTGATTACTGCAACGCTCTCTACGTGGGGTTGCCTTTGAAGACAGTCCGGAAGCTCCAGTTAGTCCAACGGGCGGCAGCCATGGTACTAACAGGAGCGGGGCGCAGGGAGCACACAACTCCTCTGCTGCACCAGCTCCACTGGCTGCCGATATGCTACCGGGCTCAATTCAAAGTGCTGGTTTTGGCCTTTAAAGCCCTATACGGTTCTGGCCCAACTTATCTATCCGAACGTATCTCAGCCTATCAGCCCACCAGGACCCTAAGATCTTCTGGAGAGTCCCTGCTCTCTATCCCACCGGCTTCCCAAGCGCGGCTGGCGGGAACGAGAGACAGGGCCTTTTCTGTGGTGGCCCCTCGGCTTTGGAACACCCTCCCTATAGAGATACGATCTGCCTCTTCGCTGATGGCTTTTCGGAAGACACTAAAAACTTGGTTGTTTAAACAAGCATTCGGTTAGTCTGTTACCACCGAATTTTGCTGACTAAGGACTGGTTAATTATGGATGACGAATTTCTGGATTGTGATTTTATTGACGAGATGCATGGTATTATTATTGGTGGCCCAATAATTTGTATTGTCTATGTGCTGTTGTTTTAAATTGTATATTGTTTTTAATTGCTGTAAACCGCAATGAGTCGCCGACTTAGGCTGAGATATTAGCGGTATACAAGTGTATAAAATAAATAAATAAATAAATAAATACACTGTAATCCGCCCTGAGTCCCCTGCAGGGTGAGAAGGGTGGAATATAAAAGCTGTAAATAAATAAATAAATTGTCCCACATCTTAGCTGGAGGGTATGGTCATGCTGGCTATGGAATGATGGGAAGTGTAGTCCAACACATCTGGAGAGCCAGCAAACAAAAAACACTCTGTCTCTCTATCTCAATTTCAGGAGTTATACTTTAAAAATGTACATATTCCAACTTACAAACAAATTCAGCTTAAGAACAAACATAAAGAAACTATCTTGTTCATAACTTGGGTACTGCCTGTACCAGAGGACAAAGTTCTTGGAGCAAGCACTTTACATGAGTTGGGTGTCCTATGTACAGTTCTACCACACATTTCTACAAACATGATATTTATTCCCTATTCCCGGCCACACAATCCCTTCCTCATTTCCTATTGATGTAGATACTTTGAGGTCACACTCAACATATGAGAGTTATCCAGAAAGTAAGGTTACAAGGCACGTAGCTCTCACAGGGAATTTTCACAGGAGAAGTTGGCATCACTGCCGTGTAGCGGGAAACCAGCAGAAGCAAACGAGCAGTGTCAGTCGTCAGTAGCTCATCGACTGGCATTGTGATTAGAGATGAGTGTCCTCATTCCATTTCCCTTCTGTCTCCTTCACGGCAATGCGGATCCGCATACCACTCATGCAACACAAGAGTTGTTGACTTCATTTGGTTGGGATGTTTTAAACCACCTATCTCACAGCCCCAATCTCACATCCAGTGACTATAATTTGTTCACTAAATTGAAGGAACATCTGGGTGGAAAACATTTTTCCAACGATGACGAGGGGAAAATCGAAGTGACGAACTGGATGAAAAAGGTAGCGGGAGACTTCTACGACACAGGCATCAAAAAACCCATCATATAGATGATAAAATGTATTGAACTGAATGGTGATGTGGAAAAATAATGTAATGCCGATGCTATAATCCCTGTAAGCTTTATTAAAATATATTCATTCTTTGTTTTTTGTTTTTTTAAAATCTTGTAACCCTACTTTCCAGATATCCCTCATATTATGGAATCAGGTAGGTCTGTCTTACTCCTCACTTCACCGTTTGGAGGACGAAGTAAGAGCATCAGTGTGGCCAGGGTGGGAAAAGGATTGCCACTGCAAGTTCCACTGACCAGTCAAAGCCACAAGAGTGGAAAAGAATGAGCTCCCTTATCAATCTCAGGACTAATGACAGCAGCTCGTGCACAGACGAGGCTTAAAGGAAGCCTAGCCAGATGCAATCATGGTTTCAAATAGCTTATAAGCAGATCTGTGTCTAAATCCAATTACTGCTTAGGCTTTAGCAAATCCCTTGGGGTTACTCCACTGGATCACGGAACGAGCTGGCAAACCCAAACCCATCACTTGTGTAGTTTTTGCTTTCAGTAAATGGATAGTATACTCTGTCATTTTCCTCTCTACACATAACGCATGCCAGGTGTGGGGAACAAATGCATTATACCCGAAAAAGAAAAAAATGCTTTGTCTGTCACCAATCAGCCTGTTTGTTTACCTTGTTGAACCCTGCCAAGGCATGCGAGGACGATGAATTCCACCCAAATTGGACCCTGGTCATCAACACTGGATTTGTGTGCCTCCTTCCTCAACATTCCAGCCTACTGCAAAAGTACTACTGCTTACTTTCACAACTACTGCTTACTTCCACAACGTGTATCGGGGGAACCTATGATCTTTCAAATGTTGCCAGGCTGCAAGTTCCATCAGTCCCAGTCAGTACAGACAATGATCAGGGATGATGGGAAGTGTCGCCCAAAAACAAGGTGGGGATCATATGCACCCCACCTCAATTCTAATTTACATCGCAATACAGTTTTAGAAAAAGGTCAAATGGTGGCCTCTCCTATTTTCGTCTGGTGGTGCTCGATCTGTAGCCCTGTTCACTTCTTTCAATAACTGCAACAGGCTATCAATTAAACAGTAGGTGCTAGAATTTGCATGTTCTACTTCAAAAGGGAGGGTTCCCATTCACATATCTTCTTTCAAGGTGCTGGTGTTGACCTACAAAGCCCTAAAAGTCTGGAATCAGGATATCTGAAAGACTGCCTCCTACTTCATAAGCCTGCCTGGTATGTGAAATATTCAGTGGAGGCCCTGGTTGAATGTTCAGCTACCCATGAAACTGGGTTGGTGAAAACACAACATTGGGTTTTCCATAGCTGCACCTTGAATATAGCAGTCCTTCCCAAGTGAAGTCACTCCAGCTGCATCCATGTTGAACTTCTGACAGGTAGTGAAAACCAGATTACCGTATATACTTGAGTATAAGCCGACCCAAATATAAGCCGAGGCACCTAATTTTGCCACAAAAAACTGGGAAAACTTACTGACTCGAGTATAAGCCAAGGGTGGGAAATGCAGCTGCTATGGGTAACTTTCAAAATAAAAATAGATACCAATAAAATTACACTAACTGAGGAAACAGTAGGTTAAATGTTTTTCACTGTTTACATAAAAGTGTAATTAAAATAAGCCGGACCAACTTTGATTAAACCTTTATTCCAACCTTTTTCAGTGTAAATGTGCTTACGCATAGTGTGAAATGTAAATGTAATAATACTGATAATAAAGTAAAATAATAAATGTAATAAAAATAATACTAATAACAGAAAATAATAAATAACTTTGACTCGAGTATAAGCCGAGGGGAGCTTTTTCAGCCTAAAATGGGCGTTGAAAAACTAGGCTTATGCTCGAGTATATACAGTATTTAATCTGGTTTTGTTTAGTATTTTTTTTAAAAAAAAATTAAATATTGTTTTGAAATTCATCTTACAGTACATCACTTTGGTGGTGCAATGGGTTAAACCCTTGTGCCGGCAAGACTGAAGACTGACAAGTCAGAGGTTCGAATCCGGGGAGACCACAGATGAGCTCCCTCTGTCAGCTCCGCTCCCCATGCGGGGAGATGAGAGAAGCCTCCCAGAATGATTGTAAAACATCAAAACATCCGGGCGTCCCCTGGGCAACGTCCCTGAAGACAATTCTCTCACACCAGAAGCGACTTGCAGTTTCTCAAGTCACTCCTGACACACACACACACACACACACACAAAATTTGGTGGGCAGAGAAATAATTTATAAAACAGATACTATATAAAATTTGATGAACACGTCAACTACTCCACACAGTGAGCACACAAATAATAAAAATAAAGTCACCTCAATCAAATTACTCCCAATTTTCAGAGACAGAACATAAATCCCTGGGATTTTCTTCTCCACTATTTTCTTAATGTAACCCATGCTTTCGGGATTGCAACAGCTATCACCTACAATTTAAGAAAAAAGAAAGAGCAAGAAGATTATTAATCATGAAACCAGTCCTCCTTTGAACAATTTGACAGCTCACTAATGTAGACTTAATTCAATTCATGTGCAATTGGGGTGCATGGCAGTCCCATGGCCAAATATCAACTTCGGAGAGTAACCAATCTGATTAGAGAATGAACTTTTGGTTGCTCTTTCTTGCAACATCAAATGTTTGGACTGAAATGAAACCATGTCAGAAAGCACATTCATAGATGCATTTATGAGATACTTAAGGAGTTGCTGTAAAGAAAAAAGGGGAATTTATTTATTTATTTATTTCCTACTAGCCGTCCCCTGCCACGCGTTGCTGTGGCCCACATGGGGGTTCTGTGTGGGAGGTTTGGCCCAATTCTATCGTTGGTGGAGTTCAGAAAGTTCTGTGATTGTAGGTGAACTATAAATCCCAGCAACTACAACTCCCAAATGTCAAGATTCTATTTTCCCCAAACTCCACCAGTGTTCACATTTGGGCATATTGAGTATTCGTGTAGAGTTTGGTCCAGATCCATCATTGTTTCGAGTCCACAGTGATCTCTGGATGTAGGTGAACTACAACTTCAAAACCAAAGGACACTGCCCACCAAACACTTCCAGTATTTTCTGTTGGTCATGGGAGAACTGTGTGCCACGTTTGGTCCAATTCCATCGTTGGTGGGGTTCAGAATGCTCTTTGATTGTAGGTGAACTATAAATCCCAGCAACTACAACTTCCAAATGGCAAAATCAAATTTGAGTGAAGAACATACATTGGGTTGTTAGGTGTCTTGTGTCCAAATTTGGTGTCAATTTGTCCAGTGATTTTGAGTTCTGTTAACCCCGCAAACAAACATTACATTTTTATTTATATAGATATTTATACCCCGCCCTTCTCCCCCAACATCTTCAGCTCTTTGGAGGAAAGACAGTGATACGAAAGTAAGAAACACAGCAAAAGACATTCTGGCCTCTAGACCAGAATATGGAGAATGGAAGACTTCAGAAAGAAACTCAAATATAGTAGAATCTCGTTTAACCGACTTTAGCTTATCCAACATTCCGTGTTATCGGACACTCTCTATCGGGTTACTTGCACCAGGAAAAGGGCAAAGGAATCCTCCGGCACAGCCTCCCGTTAGCTCAAAGGCAGGGCAATGTGCCCTTCAGCGCTTTAGCAACAATGGTAAACAATCTTGGTTGCCTGGCAAAGGGGAGGGCATTCTAGGGAGGACCGTTGGAGAGTGATTGCCAATGCTGCACATGGCGCTGGAGGAGGAGCAGAGGAGAGGCACGAGGCGGGGGGGGGGGGGCAAAGCAGAGGGCAGAGTGTGTCACCTCTTCCTTGAGGGACTGCGACCTCCACGACTCTGAGGGGCGGGGCCTGGGGCTCCTCCTGGCCAGGAGAAAAAAGGTAGAAAATACCCCCCCACCCCACTTTCTTACTCCCTCCGTATTCCCCAACATTTTTGGCTATCTGACGTTCTGCCGACCCGTTTATGTTGGATAAGCAAGACTCTACTATCTTTCTTTATTTCCTATAAGTTTGCCAACCATTTTAGTTATAAAGATCCTGCAGCGATTTAGATGGAAACTAAAGCATCATCTAAGTAGGAAAAGCCATCTTGGATCCTGTGCAGAGAGAAAGAATCTATATAAATAAAAATGTAATGTTTTGTTGAAGGCTTTCATGGCCGGAATCACTGGGTTGTTGTAGGTTTTTTCGGGCTGTATGGCCATGGTCTAGAGGCATTCTCTCCTGACATTTCGCCTGTATCTAAGGCAAGCATCCTCAGAGGTAGTGAGGTCTGTTGGAACTAGGAAAAAGGGTTTATATATCTGTGGAATGACCAGGGTGGGACAAAGGACTCTTGTCTGCCTGAGCTAGGTGTGAATGTTTCAACTGACCACCTTGATTAGCATACAATGGGCAAACTGTGCCTGGAGCAAACTTTTGTTGAGAGGTAATTAGATGTCCCTGCCTGCTTCCTCTCTGTTGTTGTGCCGTTGCAATTTTAGAGTTTTTAAATACTGGTAGCCAGATTTTGTTCATTTTGTTCATTTTCATGGTTTTCTCCTTTCTGTTGAAATTGTCCACATGCTTGTGTATTTCAATGGCTTCTCTGTGTAGTAGGTGGTTGTGAGAGTGGTCACCCTGGTCATGCCACAGATATATAAACAGATATATATAGGTTTTTTCGGGGTGTATGGCCATGGTCTAGAGGCATTCTCTCCTGATGTTTCGCCTGCATCTATGGCAAGCATCCTCAGAGGTAGTGAGATCTGTTGGAACTAGGAAAAAGGGTTTATATATCTGTGGAATGACCAGGGTGGGACAAAGGACTCTTGTCTGCTGGAGCTAGATATATAAACAACGACACAGCCTAACTTTGTTTTTGTTTTTTTTACTTTATATGAATGGCTTTGGACAATAACCAGAAAGTCAGCTGCCTCCACCTTCAGTATTGCTAATACTTTGTGCATGACATGAATTTAGATCACCAGCTACAGAATATTAATGGCAGTGATATGGCTGTATTAAGAAATATAAAACACACACATATGCTGTATGTATAAGCACATTGAAATATAGGAAACAAAGGAAATTAGATTCTTAAATGCAGTAGCTAGAGGAATGTTCAGGAGGTCTGTTCAATGTAAAGGCAAGAGCCTGAGCTGTTGAATCTGTAAATTCCAGGTACCTGCCATGGGCTGACACCAGCCAAAGGAAGGAGAGTGGTAGGGGCCTCTTGGCTGATGGGCTGAAAATGTAATGTCTATCTATAACCATCTTAAAGTGCTTTAGGAAAAGAACTGATGTATGTACCATATCGTGAGATGGTCAAAGGTTATCTCTGTGACGAGAAATGACAATGCATATAACTTTGCCTGCATGTAACAGAGGAATGTATAAAAGTAGAAAAATGTCTTTGTTCAAGGCTCTACCTTTTGGAATTGATTTCCAGCAGAGACTGGAAATCAGCTGGTAAATACAGTATATACTCGAGTATAAGCCAACCTGAATATAAGTCGAGGCACCTAATTTTACCACAAAGAACTGGGAAAATGAATTAACTCAAGTATAAGCCAAGGGGTGGGGAATGCAGCAGTTACAGGTAAATTTTAAAAATAAAATAAATAACAATAAAATTACATTAATTGAGGCATCCGCAGGTTAAATGTTTTTGAATATTTACATAAAATTGTAATTTAAGATAAGACTGTCAAACTCTGATTAAGCAATTATTCTAACCTTCTTCAATGTAAATGTGCTTATGTATTCTTCCAATAATAATAAAGAGTAATATAATAAATGTAATAATAATAGGATAAAATAATGTAAATGTAATAATAACAGTAATAATAGGTAAAAGGTAAAGGTTTTCCCCTGACATTAAGTCCAGTCGTGTCCGACTCTGGGGTGTGGTGCTCATCTCCATTTCTAAGCCGAAGAGCCGACATTGTCTGTAAACACCTCCAAGGTCTGGTGGCCAACATGACTTCATGGAGCGTCGTTACCTTCCCGCCAGAGCAGCACCTATTGATCTACTCACATTTGCATGTTTTCGAACTGCTAGGTTGGCAGAAGGTGGGGCTAACAGTAGAAGCTTACGCTGCTCCCTGGATTCGAACCTGCAACCTTTCGGTCAGCAAGTTTACCAGCTCCGTGGTTTAACCCATTGTGCCACCGGGGGCTCCAGTAATAATAGAGTAAAGTAATAATAACAACAATAATAAAGTAAAAAATAAATGTAATAATATAGTAAATTGATAAATGTAATAATAATAATAATAATATTAATAATAATAAGAATAAAATAATAAATATAATAATAATAATAATAACAACAGAGTAAAATAAAAAATAACCTTGACTATAAGCCAAGGGAGACTTTTTCAGCCTAAAAAAGGGCTGAAATATTAGGCTTATACGCAAGTATATACAGTAAATTGTGTTTTATTTTCAAGCCTCAGAAACAGTCTCGTTTGGTTTCGCTACTCATCCTACATCAGCAGCAGAGAGAGTACCTCCTTAAGTCTAGATTCCTGAGAATTTATCAGGGAACTTCAAGTAAAGCTTGCAACAAGAATCCTGTGCAAAAATCTGTCCACTGCTGCCAGTTTATAGCCCTGAGACAGGTAGACAAATGGTCTGACTCATTATAGCCAGCCCTCCACATTTGCAGGTTTCATTTTTGCAGATTTGATTAATATGTTCTCTGCAAAAATCTTTAGGTCCTCCAGCAAGACTCTATGGCCAATTTCCAACATAAAGTTCTCCTTTAGGACCTAAAGCTTCCTGGAGAGATAATTTCTCTAGGCCAGTGGTTCTGAACCTTTCTAATGCTGCGACCCCTTAATACAGTTCCTCATGTTGTGGTGACCCCCAATCATATAATTATTTTTATTGCTACTTCATAACTGTAATTTTGCTACTGTTATGAATTGTAATGTCCATATCTGATATGCAGATGTATTTTCATTCACTGGACCAAATTTGGCACAAATACTCGCTATGCCCAAATTTGAATACGGGGGGGGGGGGGGGGGGGGGGGGTGGATTTTGTCATTTGGGAGTTGTAGTTGCTGGGATTTATAGTTAACCTACAATCACAGAGCATTCTGAAATCCACCAACAATGGAATTGAACCAAACTTGGCACACAGAACTACCATGACCAACAGAAAATACTGGTTTGGTGGGCACTGACCTTGAGTTTTGGAGTTGTAGTTCATCTACACCCAGAAAGCACTGTAAACTCAAACAATGGTGGATCTGGGTCAAACCTGGCACAAATACTCAATATGCCCAAATGTTTGGGGAAAATAGACCTTGACATTTAGGAGCTGTAATTGCTGAGATTTATAGTTCACCTACAATCAAAGAGCATTCTGAACCCTACCAACAATAGAATTGGGCCAAACTTCCCACACAGAACCTCCATGACCAACAAAAATACTGTGTTTTCTGGTGGTCTTTGATGACT